CATGAAAGTGATCTCAGCGTGCACCTGCAGAACGATCTCGGATGCTTGAAGCTGACTTAGATGACAGCGAATAAAGCCAGCTAACACCCGGGCATAATACGGAGGGCGTTTGGCCAGGTTGATCTTACTTTCTTTTCACAAATGCTTAACGCTTACATGAGGTCACACGTTGAACTCGCCATTCAGGTGTGGCACCGCTGGCAAAAGCATGACCTCACTGCTCTGGAGAAGCCAGGTTAAGTGATTGTTCCATCTTCCTCACTATTTGAGACAAAGAATTCTACGAGTTTCTGGTGAACAATATCGTCTTCTGTGAGGTGACCTCATGTCTGTGTATAACATCCTCAAGGATCCGAACCACCCACGCCGACCCTTACTGAAACTCAGCCACACCACTTTATTGATAGGCCACCATTTGGATTTGGCGACATGGTTTCCAGTTGTAATGCCGCCTGACCATTTCCTCATTTCGTGCATCACTCCCGTAGAACTTACTTCGCATTTTGTCTTCTATGCTCCTACGTTGTCCGAATTCAAAACTCGACTTGATAATGCCTTACACCACATGTATTACATGATTTTACCCAAGGTACCGGGACACGTGACAGCGTAACTAAACAGTGTGTACACTTGAAATATGCGGTACGTCCACTGCTACCCGTATTTTATATATCTGATACCTCAAATTGTTTTCTAAATCTTTGCCAACAGAAAACTATTAAGCGTTTGCTTTTATATCCGTGCTAATTCCATTGTTTGCACTGTATAACACTGAAACCTTGTAAAGTTAGTAAAGGCCCAGGTATGTACAATACATTAAGAAAGACCGTTGCACAGTCTTCGGAGTAAACCACATGGCTGACCGCTTCTACAAAGTACGCGGAGTCATGGGAACAATATGATAAGAAACATTATTCATATTCCCAATCCCTGATTGGAGAAGGATAGAGGTAGTTCCCTAAACAGCAAACATCAGCCATCTAAAGTTCTAAGCCACTTTTCCAAGGTTTGATCGCAGATAGTAATCTAATGACTCTAGTAAATACACAAGTCTCGTAGATTTTCCGAGCCTCCAAGTCTGCGAATATAAATGAGGCATGGGGTGGAATTTGCCACCAAAAATTTGTCAGTGGGCATCCAAAGTGCGAGTAACCATAACTGTAATCAGGATAGGGTAAACACTGACAATGAAAAGTGCATTATCATGCACACAATTAACTTTCCACATGTACCTCCTCCGTGATTTCATATAAGCAACTTAATAATGCGACCCACAATTTAGGTTTTCTTGATCGACGTTAGTTTAAAGCAGTTAGTTCCTCAGAACAATTTGAAAAGCACAGGGAGAACACGAAGCTCTGCAGCACTACAGACGATTTATACGAGTTATTAAGGAAATTATGAGGGTAGGAAACTCTCGCGAAAGATTGGAGCCGTTCCGTCATAATCCTAATTTTCTAGGGCGGCTCCCGCTTGGAATGCGACAATCTTAGAGGTATTATTCTTATCTAAACTGTTACCAAATTGCTTGCGTCTCCAGCTCGCCACAGACTGACTGAAGCACCTGAAGGCCGGATAAGCAAAGAGCAATGCACGATTCTTCAAAGTCGGACTGCATCGACCACCTATTCAATTTACGTCAATTGCTAGAGCACCGCCATGTTAATTGCTTACCCAACCTAATCCTCTTTCTCGCAATCAAAGGCGCATCCGATTCGCTGGATCGCTGTGCCATTTAAGACTGTCTGCTGTGCAAAGGTGTGAAGCTAAATACGAAAACTTAAAAATTGGCGTTTCAGTCTCGAGAACAAAATACCATCTCGTGTGCAACTGATTTCAATGACTCATCATCAGACTATTGCAATCATTTAGAGGCTGAAAAATAAAAATCGAGTCAGTCAGTTCAAAACGAATAGATCACATGTAGGTCTATGTCAACGATGAGAAAAAGAATTAGGTCTTAGTGGGTTGGTTGTTTACTACAGCGTCTGATCGAAGGCGGTCGATCTGGGCGTCTTTCGTCTTCGCTGGCCAGGGAAGCTAATGAGCCTGGACCAGCTTCGTCTGTGGGTATAAGGACGGCTGGAAAAATGGAATGCAAATTGCTTCAGTTGTCGATAGTGTACGAAGGCGGTAACCTTTTGATCGGTGCGGCGGAACCTCGTAAACTATTAGGAAAGCACGTTTCCAATCCACCTCATAGCCGGTGTCCACAATGTGGGCCAGAATGGCGCTACTAATGGTCTCGGCGCCCTCTTAACTCAACCAACAAGGGTACTGTTCGTTCGCGCGGTTGGATAACTGCTGCACCGTTCGATCAATATACATTGCGCCACAGGCTCACTTGAATTGGTAAATTATCATTGTGGTGATCAGCAGCGGCACCTTGCCCTTGTTTTGTGAACGAATGAGTGATTCCGTTGAAAACACACACTTCAACGAGGCTGGTGGGAAAGTCGACTTTACTGCGGCCGATAGGCTTCTGGTTAGACACTCTGTAGCCGAGTCCCCATTTAATGGTAAACGAATAAATAACTGTTTCTTTGCTGCTGTTAAAGCTGTCAATGGTCTGGAGTTTTCTTGGAAGTTCCTAAAAATAAATCTATCGAGAGAACCGTTTTCACGTAGAGTATTCCATGAACATCAACCGCGCGTCTAGGGTGTCTTCCGTACAGATTCGACGTGCTCTAGAGGTAAGACAGTAAACCAATTTACGCTTTTATCTCATAGGAACCAAACTGTGAAAGTTCGTATACTGACCTATTCACGTTGTCTTTCTGTAGACCTGAAGCTGGATGGATCCGTCTGGTTTAGTTAACAAGACGCGGAGATAGAATGTCCGATTATCACCTTCTTTCTAGTAAGTAAACTACACTGTTGCATGCACACGATTAAAGTGGTTAAGAATTTTATCCGGAATAACATGTTTATCCACCACAACAAATCTATCGTCCATGTATCGATGCTAGCGGTCAAAAACCTTTATGGCCGCCCGCATTTCGGTTCTCTCTAGCTTTGTCATGAAAAAATCCGCTAATAGCGACCTGAGGGAGAGCCCATGGCCACGCCGTCCTTCTGCTGGTAGTATTTCCCATTGAATAGAAAGTGCACATTCCAAATACAGTGTGACAATAGGTCTTAGAGCTTACGTATTGATATACACACTTTTATTCCTGACCTGGCTATATAGTAGCAAATGTAATCGACCGTTTCAACAAGTGAGAGGTTGGTAAAATGAGATCATTACTTTCTCATTGGTGTTATCATCCTTGATCACCACAATGATAATTTATCAATTCAAGTGAGCCTGTGGCGCAATGTATATTGATCGAACGGTGCAGCAGTTATCCAACCGCGCGAACGAACATTACCCTTGTTGGTTGAGTTAAGAGGGCGCCGAGACCATTAGTAGCGCCATTCTGGCCCACATTGTGGACACCGGCTATGAGGTGGATTGGAAACGTGCTTTCCTAATAGTTTACGAGGTTCCGCCGCACCGATCAAAAGGTTACCGCCTTCGTACACTATCGACAACTGAAGCAATTTGCATTCCATTTTTCCAGCCGTCCTTATACCCACAGACGAAGCTGGTCCAGGCTCATTAGCTTCCCTGGCCAGCGAAGACGAAAGACGCCCAGATCGACCGCCTTCGATCAGACGCTGTAGTAAACAACCAACCCACTAAGACCTAATTCTTTTTCTCATCGTTGACATAGACCTACATGTGATCTATTCGTTTTGAACTGACTGACTCGATTTTTATTTTTCAGCCTCTAAATGATTGCAATAGTCTGATGATGAGTCACTGAAATCAATTGCGCACCAGATAGGATTTCTTTTTGGTAATACGAAACGTTCTCAAAACGCTGTACGCGCATATTTGAGCAGTGTTTTTATGACAAACAGTCGCCTTCCTTCATTATCTTCCGCGGTGTGAGACTGATTTGCCTTTTTCCCTTTTCCTATTTATTTTCGTTATATTAGAATTCATGGAAGCAGCTTTCTCTGGACGGGATCTCTCAGGCGTGGAGCTAATTCCTTGTAATTTCTTGTATTGTGTATGCAGACGAAATCGTCCTAATTTTTGTCAGCTTTCAAATGTGCCCAGCACCTCTGGACCGATTAGCACTGACTGTCATTCTTGCTTTTCTGCATCGAAATGCAAGGTGCTTCTCCAAGGCTGGTAGGACCCCACTACTCCGCTGACCCTTGGTGGGGATGAGCTAGAAGTCGCTCAATAATTCAGGTACCCGAGTAGCTATATTTGCGCACGTGGGATCGAAGATAACGTTAGAACCGTATAGCAAAAGCACAAGGTGCTTTTGCCAATCTGCACCACCTGTGGCGCAGACGGTACATTATTCTCGCCCGGATGGACAGAGTTTATAATGCAACTGTCCGTTATACCCTCCTGTACGGTTGTGAAACTGGGTTCATCGGGTCAGCAAACATAAGGAGATTGGTCACATGCGACCATCGCTGCCTTCGCAACGTAGCTCATGTTTGGTGGGAGCACCAGTTGAGCAATGAGCATGTTCGGCATCGCGTATTTGGTGCAGTATGAGCTAGTGAACGTTCAGCACCATTGTATCACGCACCAGGTTCCGGTGGCTAGGCCAAGTGTTGCGCATGCCAACCCACCGACAGCTGCAACGTGCAATGTATGCGCGCCGGTAGTGCGGTTGAAGGAGTAGGAGGGGCGTCAATCGATGTCTTGGTAGAGTGAAATGAAAACCGCCACTTCGAAGTTGGTCTCGGTTGGTGCATCCCGACTGCCTGGCTGCGATCCTAAGGATGATGAACAAGTTTGGTTGGACACACTTGTTGATATGTCGAACAGCCCGCCGCAGTGGCGCTTGTGTTGTGAGTGTCTTGGTCTGTCTTCCTCCCTTTTAGATTCTCCATCCAATTCCGATCTAATTCGTATTACCAACTAAAATAACATAACAATAACTGCTTTTGAGGTTTTGTGCAGTGTGTCTGCGATTTTTCTATTGTAGCACATTAGTTGGACGAGCTTCTCACCCACAACAAAAGGGAATTGAGAATGATGATGACGATGATGATGGTGCTGATGATGATGATGATGATGATGATGCTGCTGTTGCTGCTGCTGCTGCTGATGATGATGATGATGATGATGATGATGATGATGATGATGATGATGATGATGATGATGATGATGATGATGATGATGATGATGATGATGATGATGATGATGATGATGATGATGATGATGATGATGATGATGATGATGATGATGATGATGATGATGATGATGATGATGATGATGATGATGATGATGATGATGATGATGATGATGATGATGATGATGATGATGATGATGATGATGATGATGATGATGATGATGATGATGATGATGATGATGATGATGATGATGATGATGATGATGATGATGATGATGATGATGATGATGATGATGATGATGATGATGATGATGATGATGATGATGATGATGATGATGATGATGATGATGATGATGATGATGATGATGATGATGATGATGATGATGATGATGATGCTGATGATGATGATGATGATGATGATGATGATGATGATGATGATGATGATGATGACGATGATGATGATGATGATGATGATGATGATGATGATGATGATGATGATGATGATGATGATGATGATGATGATGATGATGATGATGATGATGATGATGATGATGATGATGATGATGATGATGATGATGATGATGATGATGATGATGATGATGATGATGATGATGATGATGATGATGATGATGATGATGATGATGATGATGATGATGATGATGATGATGATGATGATGATGATGATGATGATGGTATTGATGCCTGCAGTTCTATCGTCCCATCAGCGTGTACCAGTTGGTAGGTAACCGCGGCGCAATTTGTTTGTAAAAAGACGATAGAACCTTGAGGATCTGGATGAAGGAGCCAGTGTCCAGATACGAGGTCGCTCACAGGCTTACCGCGGAGCAGGTGAGCTATCTGCTGCATGCGAAGGTCACCAGCACGAGCGTGGAACGACCTTCGACTGTTTTGCTAAATTTGGGAATCGGGTGCAAACTGATTGGCCAGTAAATCTAAGTCCGAGTTCACGGAGGCGAACCATTCTGCCAAATATGGAAAATCGGTGGGGCGGAACTAACTCACATTAGCTGAGAGCCAAACGCTTCCAAATTTAGTACGTTTCGTTCACCAATATATAGAACTGACCTATCGTGTAGAATAGACTATCTGTTAACCGAGCCTTGGTCCTCTGTATCCCGTTGGTTGGTTGGGCGCGAGACTGTGCAATTAGGCGGTCGTGGTGTCTCGTAGGCGCAGAATAGCACCACAGCAGTAGTGCGAAGACAGCTTTACAACAGTGGCGACAGGAGTCATAAGGATCCAAAGATGTCAGTCAGCTTTGAGAAATTGCAGACTCTATTGCGGCAACAGCAGGCGTAGTTTGAGTAAACACAGTCCATGTTGATCGAAACTCTGACCAAGAATTTATCACTACAAGCAGGTTCGGTAACAGGAACAAGTGAACCTTGCCCCTCAGCAGAAACCTTGACCCAGCAAATTTGTGAGTTCCGTTACCATGCCGATGCCGGTATTACCTTTGAATCGTGATTCCATAAATACGAAAACCTGTTTCGCGTTGATTTAGCCTGTGCTTCAGATTAAAAAAGAGTTCGCCTCACGTTGTGGAAATCGGGTGCGGCCGAGCTTGAAAAGTTTATGTATTTCTTCTTGCCGAAAAAGAGCGCTGATTTAACGTTCGATGAAGTGGTTGCTACTTTGTCCCAGATACTTGGAGAGCAGTTGTCATTGTTCATTATCCGATACAAGTGCCTGACAATGACCAAGCGAGACGACGAAGACTGGGTCACTTACTATATTTGCGTAAATTGTGAGTGTAAGCGGTCGCTGTTTCACAACATGACAGTTGTTTAGTACAATTGCCTTATGTATGTGTGTGGTCTTCAAGCAACCAAAGATGCGGATGCCCGAACAAGAGTACTGAGCAGAATTGAACAAAATCCCGAGATCACACTGCAGGAAGTGACGAACGAATGCCAACGGTTGATGAACTTGAAGCATGATGCTGCGATGATCCAACAGTCATCCATCCAGAGTAGCCAGGAGATCATTTGCAGGGTCAGCCGATGTCCTCAAAAAGAACCGGTTCATGTGAGTTCACCACATTCTAAGCCCTCTTCTACTTATAGCTTTTGCAAGGAATGGCACTAGGGTCGAAACTGCCCGTTTCCAAATCACATTTGCAATTCATGTGGTAAGCGAGGACACAAAGAGTCGTGTTGCCTTGCGAAGCGACCAAAAATGAGCGGAATACGGCGTTGAATCCCAGTGCGCTTCCGATGTCACATCGAGGCCAAAACGGTGACGGCGACTTTCAAGGTTGATGTTGTCAGCAGGCGTAAGTTTACAATGTTGAAGATCAATGATAAAGAAGTTCAGCTGCAGCTGGATACTGCGTCAGACATCACTTTGATTTGTCGAGACACATGGTGTAAGCTGGGACGACCACCGCTTGTCCACACAGACAAGACAGCACGAAACGCATCCGGTATTTTGAAACTTCTCAGAGAGTTGCATTGTCGGGTCAGTTTCCGTGATCAGCAGATTCGTACAACCAGTTTTGTGACACATCAATCAGGATTGAATTTGCTGGGTCTCGATCGGATGGAGGAATTGAAATTATTTGACCGGTCAGTTAACAGTATAAGCTAGAAACTACAAGTCGAGAAACCCGGATAGACGTAAAATGTGAACCTTGCAGTTTACAGTCAAATTGCAGAACTGAAGCGACGCCAGGAAAGTTTGTTCCAACCAGGTCTTGGATGCTGCCGGATATCCAGAGCTGAGCTGAACCTCAAACCAGTTGCCAGACCATACTTTAGATCAAAACGTCCAGTGTCGTAGGCACTGGAGTCTGAATTAAATCGGTTGCAGTCGGAAGGCATAATCGAGCGCGTACATTAATTAGAATGGGCGGCAACCATCATGGTGATAAAGAAAGGAAATGGCAAGGTACGTATTTATGCTGACTTTCAACCGGCTTAAATTCTATGTTGGAGAACCACCAGTACCCGTTGCCTATACCTGAAGATTTGTTCAGCAAGCTTCACGGTGAAAAATGGTTTGCGAAACTCCATCTAACTGATCCTTACTTACAAGTTCCAGTAGCTGAGAACTGCAGAACATTACTGACGGTCAACAAGCATCTGGGTCTTTTCCAGTACAATCGGTTGCAATTTAGAGTGAAAAGTTTTCCCGCCATTTTTCAACAAATCATGAATACGCTGCTGAACGATAACCCTGGGGTCGCAGTATACCTGGATGACGCATTGATTATGGGGTCTGAATCACAAGCATTGCTGGCCACGTTAGACAGAGTGCTCACGCGTCTAGAAGAAGCTGGCTTCCGGTTATGAACGGAAAAATGCAATTTCCTGATGGAAAGTGTCAACTTTCTCGGGTTAAACCTTGACAAACATGGGCGACGTCCGGATCTCACTAATATAGAAGCCGTCAAGCAAATGCCACCACCAAGGGATGCTGCCGAACTTCGTTCATTTCTCGGTCTTATAAGTCATTATAGTGTCTTCCTGCCAAGTCTACATCAGACAAGCGGTCCTCTGAACGAGTTGCAAAGGCAAGGAAAAGAATGGCGATAGATTAAAGAGTGCCAACAATCCTTTGATATAGTTAAAGCACCGCTCAGTTCTGATTTACTTTTGACTCACTTCAACCTAAACTTGGAGATTGTTGTTGCTTCGGACGCCTCCAATTATGGGGTAGGTGCCGTCATTTCTTACGTGTTCCCAGGAGAAGAAGAGAAGGTCATTGCGCACGCAGCACGGTCGCTGAGAGTGGCGGAGAAAAATTACAGCCATATTTAGAAGGAAGCGCTGGTGATTGTTTTCGCAGTGAAACGACATCATAAGATGCCATATGGTAGACATTTCAAACTGATCACGGATCACAAACCTCTGCTATCGATATCTGGATAAAAGAAGGGTATTCCTGTTTTCACAGCAAGTCGGTTACAGAGATGGGCAACCGTACTGCTGGCTTACGATTTCAGTATATAATACCGACCAATACAACAACTCGGCCAAGCTGACGCTCTATCTCGCATCCTCAGTTTCAACTTGAAGGAAAAGGATGACTGCATGATTGCATCTGCCTAATTCTAGTCGGAAGTTCAGCTCTTCCTGGTTGACAGTGTAAGGGAGTTGCCAGTAACATCGGACACGATTCCTACAGAGACGGCTAAAGACGATATCTTGTTGAAAGTGATAGGGTTTGCGCAGTCCAGTTGGCCTAATGTCAGAATTTCGAATAAGATGCAACGTTTCTTTAACGGACGCGAATCCGTTTCCGTCGATGACAATTGTCTTATGTTCGGAGACCGAGTCGTGGTACCAAGGAAGTGGCAGAAGCGAATACTACAACAGTTTCATTCAGGACATCCGGGAACCAGCCGAATGAAGGCACTGGCTCGAAGCGTTGTGTATTAGCCTCAAATGGATGCAGAAATCGAGATATTCTGCCAAAGTTATGGATATTGTTAACAAGCGGCAGAGGCGCCTCCGAAATGTTCGTGG